TGGAGGGTGCCCAGCGATTGAATCATAAAGTTTCTGACATTGTTATCAACTATGCCGGAGGACTTCATCATGCCAAAAAAGTGAGGCATCGTGTTGTTTATCTTCAGCCTAACCTTTTCTATCTGCTAATGTTCAGCATCCACTGATCAAAATTTCTCATAGGCTGAAGCAAGCGGATTTTGTTATGTGAACGATATCGTTATCGCCATACTGGAATTGCTCAAATACCACAAACGGTAAGTTTGTCGTGGAATGACGTGCATGTTTACGTTGTTTTTTTTTTCAGGGTACTTTATGTGGACATTGACATTCATCATGGAGATGGAGTTCAAGAAGCATTTTATTTCACAGATCGGGTAAGCAATAGCTCCATTCGCAATAGCTGCATCAAATTATCTTGATTTGTTACGTCCATATGAGTAGCCGCTCCACAGGAGAATGCGTCAAATGTTGCAGGTGATGACAGTTTCGTTTCACAAATATGGAAGCTTGTTCTTTCCTGGAACAGGTAGCATTTATGACCAGGGACAGGGCGCTGGACATTACTTTGCTGTGAATGTGCCTTTACAGCAGGGTATTGATGATGATGGTAACCCATTTCTGGAATTTATTTCTACAGAAGTACATTGAGCTTTTTTCAGACTATCTTTCCGTTTTTCGCCCAATCATAGGACAAGTAGTGGAATGCTTCCAGCCAGAGGCTATAGTCTTGCAGTGCGGAGCAGATTCTCTCGGGTGTGATCGACTCGGCTGTTTCAATTTATCGTGAGTTTCTGTTTATTCGTAGCGCGATAGAGCATTTTTCGTTTTAATTTACAGTGACGTTTTGGTTTCTGTCAGATAAAGCACTCTGTAAATCATGAGCAAGAAATCTTTGTTGCAGTTCTTTACATGCATTAGTTTCTCAGAATTATTTATGTATGCGCTTTGGAGTGAACTTCCCGTCTTTTTGAAAGCATCTCTTTTACATATCTAGATATGCTGTTGCAGTTTTTCTATCAGCACTCGTGCAGGATTTGATTTCTCATTCAGGTTCTTGTTAACTGATCATCCTCTCAATAATTAACTTTTATAAGATGCATTCAGTAGTTTTGTATACGAATAATTCGCTTTTCGTTCAGAAAAAAACCGAATTTTCATTAGTTACGTTTGACCACGATATCATATTCCTAGCGATCTAGCTGTCGGATGATTCGCAGAAGACGAATATGCACTCACTGAGAAAGAAATCTAAGCATGTTATGCACTACATGTGCCTAAAACCGAATGTACCCTATCTTACACATAAGTCCGCTGTTTTGACAACGAAAATCGA